TAAGCAGACGTTTGACATTAAATAGAATTTACCCACTTCTGTTTCTAGAAAATGCTTGACAACTGTTGAGACTCCCTTATTCTCGCAGTTCACATTCACTGCCAGTGCAAAGTATCTTTATGTATATGTGTATAAAAAAAATAAAAGGCAAAGAAATGGCTAAAGGAAAATGAACAAAATCCATATTGAGATAATTTTTTAGAAAATGATTGAAGTTTTAACCCAAGAGAGGACTCTTAGAGTTTCTTATAGCTTAGAATAAGAACATGTCAATCACGATTAAGCTTCTGGAATTGGAATCCCTTTGAAATGCAGCTGTTTCTTCTTTAATTGTGGCAGCGGAGTTGGAAGAAAAGAAAGGTCCGGCCTTCAAGATGAGTCAGGAATACAAAACAGCTCAGGATTAGTTGGGGAGTTCAAAGGTCGGTAATTACACTAAGGAGTTCCCAGACACAGAGAAAACATTAAACAGGTCACCTACCAAACGGGCCACAGACTTTTGTCTTCCCCCCTCCCTTTTTTTTTTGTAAAAGAAATTATCTCGAAAAGATAGGTTTCTAGACAGAATCAAAAGCAGCCTAGGGATGACCAACTGATTTGCAAGGAATACATACAGGCGTAGCTAGCATTGTCCTGCAACATGGTGGGACCTCCCTAAAGAGGGTACTGGATATTCCTCCCCCCCCCCCCCCACGTTCCCCCAAACAAAATGTCAGAATTTCCCTCTGAGTGGTGTCATCCAACCAGTCGTCTTCTACTTTCTTCTGTCTTTTCCTGAAGATCAGCTGTTTATTCATCCCCAGCATTCGCTCAATTGTGTACAGCAGAGGGAGGAGATTCTAGGGATAACAGCAAAATAGTGAAGTGCTTCCATGCAGAAAACCCTTTAAAAGAAATTATTTTCAAGGTCAATTTTCACATGCTACCAACTAAGGGAGAGTGGCATGGACAGTGGGGAGAATTACTGAGCAATATGACACTAACTCTGAGGGAAAGAACTGAATCACTGAAACAGAAAATGTCAGCTACCGACTTTATTTTGATTAGAACTCTTCTTCCCTTAGACTTCCAGAGATTATTTTTCTTGGATATTGTCTTTTGCAAACATCTGAATGCTGAAATGATTATTTTAAAACAGTTAATAGACAGGATGGCAAGTGAGATTGATACTATTTGAGGAATAGTGATTAGATATTAGAGAATAAGCTCCTTCTCTATGTATTTTAATTGAATATTGGACAGAGAAGGAAACAGAAAAAAAGTCAGAAAATGCATCTAAAACACCAGAAGCTGGGGACGTATATTCTGTTAGGTAATGATGGAATTGTCACATTGATAAATGCTCATATTAACATAACTTTTACACACTCAAATGTTCTACTATTGTTATTTACTGAAGCAAATATCTCTTCTGCTTCCCAGCCAACTGCATGCATGGTTCAGCGTGCTAGATGGTGGATACTGTGTTGCATGCAAGTCACAATCTGTGACTTCTGAAATCATGATTTGTGAAATAACTCACATTGGCTTGGTTCAATCCACACTAAGAAATAAACCATACTTTCCAGACCATGCCAAAATGAAAGCAACTATACTATAGCCTAGGGCAACATATGAACTCAGACATTCATAATAGAAATTGTTTGCTAAGGTGTATTAGCAAAGGTAATTCTCTTTGGGAAGAAAGAGTGTCTGGGAAGCCTCTTTCATAGGTCCATGAGAGAAAAATACTAGGCAGTCAAAAAAAGTTTAAAATAGTGATACAGGGAGATGCTGAAATGAAATGTGAAAACACTTCACATTTAAGACCAAACAGAAATGAATGTAACTCTAATGTAATAATTAAAAAGAACTGAAGCAGCTGTTGGCAAGACAGTCTAGATCAGGGTGTCAAACTTGCGGGCCACAGGCTGGATGCGTCATGTGCTGGCCACACCCAGGCCCCGTTTAGCGAAGGGGAAAAAAGTCACGATACATCACGTGATGCTGTGACGACGCAAGTTTGACACCCCTGGCCTAGATTATGGTAATGAAATTTATATGGAGTAATTTACCTTTTGAAATAGTTTCCTGCTGTCCTCATCCAATTCTATTTTTTCATAACTGCTTTTAATTTTTTCCCTGTATTCTGTGTTGTGACCATTAGTTATCTCCTTATAAGGACATTATTATTCGTCTGCCATTGTTTTCAGAACTGAGACCTATCCAATGGTTCAGCTCTCCCATTTCAGAACGCAGAAGGGAACATTTGTTTGAATGTACTTTCATAATTAGGAAACCTCTCCTTTTATCTGAGAACCCTTTTGTGTAACATTACTGTTATCTACATATAAAACTAGCTAAATATAGAAGCTAGGCTGTAACTGAGAAGAGAATCCTTGCAACAAGGAAAAGCTTACATGAACTCCGGTGGTCCAATCCAGAGTCAAATATGTCTCTTTATATAAATTAAATGAATGTAACATGCAGTAGGTGAATCTATGCACAACAAAGGATTAGGCTGGAGTACACATGTTCGTCTGCCTATGTGCCCCACTCCCTCCTCCTTTCAAGAAGCAACTAACATCTGCACAGGTGGTATCTCCTAGATGTTATCTTTGAGAAAAACAGATTTTTAAATTTCAGTTCACCCCGGTTGTCTTTTGGAAGTTTTGTCAGTTTCAGCTAAGCAGCATGGTCTGTGTTAATCAAGCTATGTTTTATTATGTTTTAACCAACTATTAGATTACTATCTCAACCTGGGATATTTTTTAAAAAATTATACTTTTAAAGTTTCTCCACTACATACAAACACGAATATTATTTATCATCTAGCATACCATTAAAACTTGTGCTGTTTGATCTTATGATTTGAGAAAAATGCTGTTTGTCTTTCTTTTGTGCTGTTCTCCAGATTCCCCAAGGCTTTTTCTAATAACTTTGTGGAGGTTTGTTCATTTTCTGATAATTCACTGCACCTCAATTTCCTGCCTTCCAAAAAATACCAGTTAAAAAGATAAATAAGACAAAATTAGCATGTCACATCTGTGGCCTCTGGTTTATTTTAAAACAGGATCAACTTAACGACTATATTAATGCCAGTTAAGAAAAGCATTCCTCATTTTTAGCATTCTAGGTTCAAAAATTGTTCCTGGTGTGTAACAGATTTTTTTGTAAGATGGTTCCATAAACAAATTTGAGAAAAAAACAAAAATTACACTGAAAAATAAGACCAAAATGTATAGGAAGGTTGTCAGTTTCTTGTTTTCCAGAACAATGATATGGACATGTTGCTGTTAATATAGATGTTAGATGAGACAATACGGGAGGCTGGATATCATTTCTGACTGCCCATCACAGCTGTTTCATCCATGTTCTGCTGTAAGATAGATTGGTGTCTTGGAATGTAGTTTTAACGTAAGAGTGGCATCTAGAGAAAAAATGCCAGTTATGGCACAGATGCACTGACAGTTATTGAGATTCGGGGAAAACCATTGTGTCTAAACAATTCATAAAAGAAAAGGATACAAAGGCATGAATTTTCTTCACTCCTCCCTTTTGTTTTTAGACAATTCTGGTTTGTCCACTTTGACAAAATAGTTCAGAATGAGGTTTGCAGACTTCCAGGTTTTCTTTCAGAAGACACAACTTGAGCCAATATTTATTGATAGCACATTTTCATTTTGCACCATCTGGATGTATTGCTTTTTATAATGCATCTTTTTCCCCATTTACTTGGAGTGATTTGCAGCAGCCACTATGTTGAAGTGTCTTACTTGTATGTGTATGTGCATGTATTCTAGATGAACCTTTTAATTTCTCAAATGTGATAAAAACAATAATTGGTATTTTCTCCTTTCCACTATAGCCTTGTTTCATATTCAATATTTATCTCACTGAAACAGGAGCTGCCATTATCAATATAACTACAGAGTTAAATTATAGCAATGAGCCTTCATGTGACCAACTTCAAATTTTTTGGAGAACAATCATCTACCTGCTGGGTGGCAGACTGGAGATAACAAGGAGTGATATAGGACTGAAATGTCATTGTTCCAACTGGATTAGAACATAGATTTCTTGATCTTAATTCATTTTACTAAGAACTCCTAACATTAATATTGAAATTCATTTAATTAAATGATGTCGATTTCAGCTCTGATTTCTTGCCCAAGCTTAACGGGAACAGTAGTTTTTATGTATAACACAGCAGTAGTTTCTTTTGAAAAAGCAATTCTTTTGTCCTAAATCAAGAGCTTGTTCTGTTTTATTCTTTTAACAGACAAATGACTAACAGTGTTAAAGAAATGTCTGGATATTATTATGTTCAGGCAAATATTTTAAATACATTCTTCCTCTTGAAGGCCTATTCTTCAGATACTGAAGATCGTAATTTCAGCTACTGGAAACTATAGTTTTAAAAATTGTCTGTGGAACTAGTTTACCAATGATTTTTATGTCAGTATAAGGACAGAAGTGAAGTAGCTGTCAGCATAAATTGCTGCCCTTCTCAGAAATAAAAGAAAGTTGGCAACTTGTGCATAACAAGATTAAACTTACAAATTCAAGAATATTTTCTACAGTTTAAACTATATATCGGATGCATCTAGCATACATCTAATTTGGTAGAAAAAGACTGGTTGCTCAAGGTAAAAAGCAAAATACTTTTCATTATGTATATAGACAGAGGTACTTCTAAAGTTCTGTTTCTTCAAAACATTTTTTGAAGGCCAGCAATGTGAAGAAATGTTGTTCAGCAACTTAGTTAAGGTTGAGAAATGTGACAGTAAAATCAACAATACCTACAAGAAAGATTTTAATTTCCAAGTAATCTATTTGGCACCAGGTCAGTTTGATTGTCTAAGAGTTATATATCAGGCAATGTCTTTAATAGTACATTCACAGACAAACTTTAGACATTTTAAATCATAGATAAATGATCATTTAATATTTTGTTTTACCTCGAACAGAAGCTTTGAACAGATGTAAAATACTTTGGCCATATATTTTTTCCTAGTACAAAACCGAATAGAAAATTTAGAAAAGTAAAGTTCTATATATAACAGGTGCTGGGGCTTTGGAATTCCAGATGTAGTAATCTGATGAAAGTACCTCACGAGCTAAAATTCAAAGAAATTGAGAAAGTAAGTTCTTAGATTGATTATATCCTAATGTACAAAATACATTTCATTTTTTTTAATTTAAAAAATAATGCTTTCATAAGACATAATAAAGGGGCAGAATATTGTAACATAGAGATACATGCTTCATTAAAAACTCAAATTTTCAGACCAATACACAACAAAAAGACATAAATGTTTGGAAGTTAAATGTATTTGCTTCAATTTAAATTGCCAAAGATGAAATATGCTCACCTGTACTGATCTTTGCTTTGCCCGATGAAAAGACCTGGATGGAATGTTGGTCTGTGTAACATCCAGTAAGTGTGAAATCCAATATTTTAAAATAAAGCTAAAGACAACCAAGCAAATAACACTGAAAGAGAGATGCAGTGACTCTCATTTCTGTTTTTTTGGGGAGGTGGGGGGAAGGGAAGGGAGGGCAATATACTAGCAATTTATATATAATTGACCAACCGCAAAGAAATGCAGCAACCAATTTAAGCATGCAGATGATTGGTCAACATCACACAAAGATCTATGTATCAATCTACAATAAAGTATTGTGTTCAACATGGCTGACTTCCTTATTCATTTGTTTTAAACCAAAAGTTAAGTTAGCTACAATATAGCTTTTTGAGTAATTTTTACCTTGATAAGATTTTTCAAAAAATTGAAAAAGAAAAAAATCGGCCTAAAATTGGTTCTTGCAATGGCAACGTTCTCATACATACAACTGATTCTAAAATGAGATCTCTTGAAAAGATTCTTATTGTTCTTTCACCCAGTTTGAAAGCCTACAGCACCAAGGAACTTCCATCCTCTGAGCACACAGATACCATTTTCTATTGACTGCAAAGCCAGATAATAAGATCTAGTTTTCCCCATTTTCTCTTAAATATCGTAACTTACTTTAACATATGCAGTATTTCCAGTACAAACAGCATCAACTGGCTGATCCTGATTTGTTGGACCAAAAGCAACACTCCCAGTAAGAGAAATTTCCAGAGATTTGGGAAATTTTTGCCCTTTAAGAGTAAAAAAAAAAAAAGAGGGAGAGGCTAGAAATATTTCACAGGAATGATTCCACAGAGACTATTTAACATTTATATTACATTTCTTCTACAGGATAAACTATGTAGGATAACAGATATATTGGTCCTTCATAAAACAGATGGCAGAAGGTCAAGAACAAAAGCAGTGTGTGGAGGATCATTTTACTACTCAGAATACATCTTCTCACCATGTTCTTCAGTATAAGATCAGACTCACTTTTGGTATTGGAGCCTAACTCAGAAAAAGCAGGAAAGTTTGCAAGATATTTCAGGATAAAAAAGCCAGAAGAATCCTGGCTTACAAGGATGTTCATGGAAGAGGTGGACATCTGACAAAATAACCAAGAAAAAAATATATCTCCAGGTGCCATTAAGGTTTTTGAAAAATTCTAAATAACTAATTTTCAGAAATAGGTAATAGAATTAGCACACCATATGTGGCAAATAAAAACAGAAGGGGACCCAAGAAGATAATAAAGCAGGGGAGGGTAGTTTATAGCTAACTGCAGCCACAACTTGACACGTTTCAATTTTTGATAGCTTTCCAAGTTTGCACAGTTGAAATTTTGGACAAAAATGATTAAAATAAGCTGCAAATAAAAGGTTGCTCATGCCTTTTGATCTCATCTGCTACTTTGGAAAAAAATTCTGGAAAAATGGTAAAGATGTTTTACAAAGCGACTTAATTTTCTTCCAGATAGAGAAGACAAGTAAAGGCCTAGGTGAAAGAATCTACCTTTGGAATTGTCTGGTTTATCAGAGGTCTCTAGGATATTTTAGGAACACGGGAAGCTGCTTGAATATTAGCATTGCTTTGTTTAAGCCCAGTATTGTCAATACAGAGCTTCTAGCAGCCTTTGGGTAGGAATTTTCCCCACTTTATTTGGGATTGTCTGGAATTAAATGATAAAGCACAACACAAAATAAATTCCTTTGTCCATTAGTAAACAAAGCAACCTGCAAGGTGTATCCAAACGAAGTTGAGCCTTTTCTTGGATCAGATGGGGCCAAATATATTTAACTTACCTATGAACCAAATCAGCAAGCTTTTCTCTTTTGATACCTCAAGTTGGCCATAGCTGATTTTGTATTCCAACTGAGTAATAGGACCTCTAAGAATCAAGAACAAAGCATTATTTCTTGTTGCAGAAAGTGACTCTAAATGACTTTATTATTTAATAAAGCAATTTTGAGTAATTTCTGAACAACTAAGAAAAGAGCACATGCCTTTTTTATGAATTATGTCTGACACAAATCAACAACTTATACCAGTTATTCCCACTCTTGGTGCCCTGTAGATATATGGATTTCAACTACCAGAATTCTCAGCAAAGGACATGCTTGTGGGAGTAATTGTGTGACATAAAATCCTTAGATCTGGAATGTATCCATTTTTCTGGAAGGCTGGTAAGTAAATAAATTCCACACTGAAGTCATGGCTTGGGGATTTCAAATGATTGTCACAGAGAAAACTTACAATAAAGCATATTGCAATTTTGTAATCCACTTAACTAAAATTCAATCACATGATTCATTCATTTAAGTATTTCCTGAATGGCCATTTTCATCTTCCCTTTTTCAAAGCTTCACATGTTATTTCAGTATTCAAGTTAACTATGTTGTGTTGTATATAGGTAGTCCTTGCTTAATGTTCTTAAACGGAACCAGCAACACTGCTACTAAACAAAATAATTGCTAAGTGGGAAGTCACATGACCATGACTGTGTTTTTTGGCTGGAAACAAGATTATTCAGTTTTACACATTGGGCTTTTGTTTGACTCCTAACTATTCCGCTTCCCTTTGGAATGCTCAAATGCCTGCTTGCTGTCTTGTATTGCACTGAAAGTCCAATGCTGGGAGCCATGGGTGCACTACAAAAATAGATTATGGTGCTAGGGAAAATGAAAATATAGAAACAGTAAAAAAAATCACTCAACTGTATTCTCTACAGAAATCAGAGCAGAGAGACTTGATTTTGTTAGGATGGGGTTTGGGTATGTTTCTCTCCATCTAAACCCCTTAAGTTTCTGGATTCTGAGTCAGAACCTCAATAGCATCATTTGGACTTCAAGCACTGAGAGATACAATTGGTTATAATCAGCATATTGTTACCTCATGCCATGTTAATATCTGGCAACCTCAGGTAGATGTTAAAACAAGAGTGGGGAGGGAACTGAGTCTTGCGATATACCACACAGAAAGGATCAAGTGTTAGAGCCCTCCCAGTATAAATACCAACCAGAACTGCATTGAAGGAAAATCAGTGAAACACCAAGCTTCCTGCTCATAAGCCTGAATCTGTACAGAAGTAAACCATGATTGATAGTATTAAAGGCTTCTGAGAGATTAAGGAAGGCATAGAATATATGCACTACCCCCATTTTTATTCTATCCCTGGTCATCTACAAGCATGATCAGTGTCATTTCTTTACTATGTTCAGTCAACTGAAAGGGATCCCTGTAATCTGTTTCCTCAAGAGGCTTGTGAAACTACTGGTTGACGGCTTTTCAACAACATTTCCCAAAAAAGAAAGTCACGAGACAATTCAGAAATTATCCACTACTACTTGGTCAAAGAATGGCTTCTTAAGGAAGGGATGGACCACTATTCAGGCAAATTCATCCTTTCATTCAAGAATAAATTCACCACTATTCAGACCCAACAACTTGTCATCTTCCAGAATAGCAATAACATTTAGACTTATATATTGCTTCATAGTGCTTTACAGCCCTCTCTAAGTAGTTTACAGAGTCAGCAATCTGGGTCCTCATTTTACCGACCTCAGAAGGATGGAAGGCTGAAGCCAACCTTGAGCCAGTCAGAATCAAACTCCTGGCAGTTGGCAGAATTAGCCTGCAAGACTGGATTCCACTGAGCCACCATGGCTCTCTAAAGAATGCTTTAAACAAACAAAAAGGGATGTATTGAGTTTACATTCTCAGGCCCAAGCAGCCTATTTTCTGAGGACAAAAATCTTCCCACATAACAAGATAAGTAATCAATTCAACAGTTGTAGTCCAGTTCAGAGTGAATTTAAATGAATTTGCCAGATGTCTTGAAAAAAATTGTCACAACAGCTCTTCAGATGATTTTCTGAATCATCTCTCTCTCCCCATGGCCCTGTTTAAGGTTTGAGCAGTTTACCTTTAACAGGGCCAGAGTGGCAAAGTGCAGAGGAAATATGAGAGAAAAAACACCCGCATTTTGCCACTCTTGTCATGATGTCATCCTTAATAAAGGCCGTTATCTGTGCTCAGTCATATGTGTCCTTCTCCTTCCTCCAGTGGTGCTCTGCTGCTTCATCTCTCAGAGCTCCACTGAAAACAAGAGGGCATCACAGGCAAAAAAAATACTACAACGTGTGATCTGATCCAAGACTCCAGTCGCCCTCTGACTCCAAGAGGAAAGTAAGGCCTGAGTATGATAAATAGTCAGAAATCTCCCCAAGCATCCTCTAAAAACCCAGTAGGGTCTATCAGGTGTCTGGCAGACCAATAACATGGTTCCTACCTTCTTGAAGTAGTACACTCAGCTACTCTGGCCATTTTTTTTTCCTATAAATGGAGATTTTTCAAGTACTCCCCAAAGAACAATGTCTACAAAGAAGTCTTTGTTTTGTTGATTTGAGGGAGGGAAGGATTAGTCTTACCTATTAAAAAATGGAATATAAGCTTTGCAGTATTCAAAAGTATTTTTCATACTTTCGTGAAGTTTCAAGTGAATTGTGAACTTCCACTGTGATTCTTCTTCTTTCAACTGATAAAATCCCAAAATAGGTGGAACTGGTACCTGGTTGGGATACACAGAAATAAATATTTGAATTTGTTATATTTCTAAATTAAAATCATTTAATGTATTCTATAGATTGTTGGTTTCCATTTTTGTATGTTGTAAAGCTACCCTTAGGCTTCCTTTGGAAGTATGTGATAAGGGTACACATTCTAAAATAAAATAAAATAAATTAAAATAGGATGACAGCTTCCAGATGTCAGATATACTCTGTGATTGCTAAACAGTAAGATAATTAGGCAGAGAGTGCTTAATTCTAATGGAAAATAGGAATTAACAACTCATTTGCAAGCTAGATTCTCTAAACCACTGATCAGCAGGGTGCTGGAAATATTTCTAGGATGAAGGCCAAAAGCTCTCCTAACATCACACAAAGCATGTAATAAGCTGGAGGGCCATTGCTAACTTGAAAATTCCGTTCAGAATCACATAGTTGAGAAAGGATCATCTGTCATGTTGAGAAGCCAAGCTATTGCCAAGAAAGATACTGGGGCTCTCTTGTCTCTCAGAGATGAAAATTAGGTAAAAAATCAACTCACATGTAAAAACCTTACTCATTAAAAGTTCAATTCAAGGCTTTTTCTTCATAATAAATTTAGATGGGCATTTTTACTTCAATATGCTTAACAAATGTAGCCAAACTGTCCTATCAAATGTTTTTTTTCTAGTTTGATATTAGGAGCCTTTGGTAAACATTTGATGTTGTTGTTCCTGAACTGGTTTGTTACCAATCGTGAAAACTTACCTGGGAAGTGTAAAAGCACAGATTAAAGAGATCTGAAGGCGGTATCAGAGGGAATTTGTAAGGTCCACTGAAAGCTGAATCGTCCATTGCATCAACACTACTGGAGGTCAGAATAGCAGAATCAAGGGATGTTACACATGGGTGGACCAAAATATCTTGGAGAGGAGAACCATTGGCAGGGAGGTTCAAACCAACAGTCACATTGGGAGCAGTGCCTTCTATATCACACTTCAAACACAAAAACATAGGAGAATAGGAAATTACTGGTGATCAGCCTAATTTAATACACTTTCTACAATAAATTGTATACTATCTTGTGGCAAGAGGAAATCTCAACTTTTTTCTTGCTTAGAGTAAGGAGTGGACAAACATTGTTTCAGTAGCTAAAATGAACCTTAGTCTTATCTATTTTTAGTTAGCTTTCATATCAGAACTGAGTTTTTAAATTATTTCCTTACAAAATATAAGCACAGCAAATACAAAAACTGATGTATAAAGTAAATTTATTACAACCCTCAATTTTATAAATGTTGCCTTATACAAAGTATGGTGATTCATTCAACCACAATAATATACTCTGATGAGCAACAGCCTTCAAAATGTTAAGCAAGAGTTGTTTTTGCCAAGGTCTATGGATACTTTTAATAGAAATTGATGGTAAATGATTTATGGAATCCAACATACATATTATAGCATAGGATTATAGTTATTTATTATAACTTTAGCCTTTTTTAAATAAACGTATTGATTTTTATAAACTATTTTCATCTACTGCATATGCAAATAGATAACATCTAAGTTTGTTTTCCAACCTGGACTTCATCATTTATTGTAAACTACTCATTTTTTAATCTAGAAAATAAAGGTTCAAATCTCTACGGAGTTGTCAAACATATTTGTTGCAGTCTTGTTTTTTTTAGTATAAGACACAATGGGATAAGTAGCAATTATTTTGGAGTATGCACATATTAGATTACGTTGCCAGTGCTTCTACTTCCATCAAACACCATACCAATACATGATTTAACCATAATTGGACTTCCAAAGGTACACAGGCAAATAAGATTTAGAGCGGTCTAATCTTTTTGCTTTTCTCTTCAAGTCTTCCATGTCCATTTATAGGGGTATATGTGTTAGAAATGGGTTACTGATTCTCAATTTGACCAATTTTATAAGGCTATTATGTGTGTTTGTGTGTGTGAATGAACTGCATATGAAATGTTGTATACTGAAATATATACATTTGGTAAATAAATAAAAATCAATGTAAAACTGATAAAAAAATTAGCAGCTTGTACTGTTACCAGCAAAATTAAGCGTAAGATATGCAAAAGCATAACTGTAAAGTGAGATTTTCATTCTGTTTTAATTTACCAGAATGACAGAGTCTAACCCCCCCCCCCCCCCGGTATCTTTCCTTTGGCATGCTAAAGCATTAAAAATATTAAGTTCAGCTTCTTTACACACCAAGATGAGCTGAACAGTTGCTTTTCCAGATGCATCCATGTGTCAAATAGGTTATAGAGATTTGCAATAGGAATCATCTCACCTTGCACGTTATAGTTCCATAAACTTGCCACATGTCTGCCACATCCCTTTGGTCATACTGGACAGATTTGACTTTTTCAATGATACAGATATTAACTTGAGGTTTTCCCTTGTATGTGTTGCTTCTCCAAGCTGGTGGTTTCTGAGTGTGACTACTTACAGCAACGTGACTGTTTTCCAATGAACCATTTAAATTTGCATCTAATGGAGTGCCCAGAGGACAGGATTGCATAACCAAACTTGGAAGTTGGGCAACTTTGGCACTCCTCTCTGCATCACTCTTCTGATTAGAGTTCATAAAAGCCAGGAGTCCTGATAAGAAGTCAAAAGCCTGAGAGATTCCACTGATACTGAAGAGAGGTGGTCGTGGCATAAGGGACTGTTCAACTAAAGGGAGGCCAACATAAATCAGTCCACTCTTCCAGAAAGCTACCACAGGCCAAAGATCCTTCCTTTCAACCTGCAGGGTATAGACTGAGGTCTTGTTGATTCTGGAACAGCCATCTCTACACTCCACAAAGTGTTGACCTTCATCTGTCAGCCTCAATTCAAAAAGTAATGCTTTAAGGAAGGGACCGTCTTCTGGTATTGACACATAACTTGGCCCATTGAAAAACTGTGCTCGCTTTTCAACTGTGGGGTAACGTCTGCAATATGGAAATAGAAGTACAACAGAAATATTAACATTCTGTACTGTCTTCCTGCTTGCACAAATCTGGAATCAGGTACAAAAGATCACGTCAATCTGTTATTATTCCACATGTATAAAACTTGAAATACATTTGGAGCTAATTTTATAAAATCCTGTTCTAATTCATAAACAGGCTCCAACATATTTTTTATGTTAAAAAGTAAGCATTTTATGCAGTGACACAATGAACTTTTTTGCAACTTTTATGTTCTTATATTCATGTATTCAGCTCTCATTTCACTTGAACAAGTACTCATACCCCAAATGTATCTCCGTTAGTGATTGCAGAGATGTCTTATCTTAACTGAGGAACTCAGAGACTTGCTTCTTCATAGTTCTGTGACCAACAAGATATGCTAATCAAAAAGGGACAATGCTTGCATTATTTGCCACCCTAACTATCTGAGAAACAATGTTTTGTATTTCTCTGGACAGAATGGTTGACTATCATTGGCTGCACTGGTGTCTCTCCTTACTGATTAGCCCGATAGTTAATTATGTCATTATTCAGTGTGAAGGAAATATCAAACACTTGTAATATCACCAGGAGAGCAGAAAAACGTATTTTTTTTTAACAAATGGGTTTAACTATTATGTTGTGCAATAATTATTTCTAAAAGACTCCTTTGTCAGAAGCAAGACTTTCCTCCCCCAAATTAATCTAATTCAAAAATGTCAAGTTGACAGTGTAACTTTAAAGTATATAGTAGGAATGAACAAAAGGGAATAATTGGTAATATGTTGAGTTGGTATTTGAACTTGGCACGGTGGAAGAATATTATTTGTTATTTCTAATTCCCAGTTTGACTGAAGGATGCCTGAAGAGTTCCTGAGTCTACACTGCAGAGTACAATTACTGCTATACCTAAACAATCACCATCACAGTTTGTGTACAGATTTTTCAGAAACAGTGTATATTCTTTATGTTTTTAATTTCAACTCTTGCAACATTCACATGAAAGTAAGGGCTTGTGGGTGGCAGAGTATATTCTTGTTTAGATATAAACAAGTTTTTTCCATTTTGCAGTGGTGTGAATGCTTATTTAAACTTTTTTTTTCAAGGCTTACGTTTCTGATTCTCTTTACTGCCATCTATGGTTACCAGTTATTTGCAGCTCTGATATGGAACTTATTCTGGCCTTCTCTCCAGTCTTTGTTAAAGAAGAGAAGAGCAATTATACTCCATTAATAACTCATTTGTTATAGAAATCCATAGTCTCCACCCATCTCTAGTACAAGCTGCAAGTAGGGCTGCAATATCATAATATTTCTACAGAGATAATGACTCATACAGAAGGGATTTAAGATTTCTAGTGTTTATGCTTATGTAACCAGAATTAAGCATAAATTTAATTCTGGTTTCAATTCACAATCCTCCACTCCACTTCCCCAATAAAGTTTAAGAGCCATTGCTCATTTTAAATAACAATGGGCTAGCTGCTAGACAGATCAAAGATCTAAGGTTTCCTCTGTTCCCAATGTTAATTTCTATGCTTTCAAAAAATCATAGGCACTGTAGATTAATAATGTAGACACTTCTCTGTGAGAGATTTCAGTCTTTTGGAATCACAGCTATCAGTGAGCCTTGGAAAGAATGAAAAAAGCTCTAAAACACACTTAAATTTATATATTAGAAATGGCCTTTCCTCCAATGGCCTCCTAGCTCAGGGGTATCAAACTGGCAGCCCATGGGCCGGATTTGTCACATGCAGGCCACGCCCACACCAGCTCCACAAAGGGTAAAAACATCGCGATATGTCATGTGACAGCAATGTGAGAGTGTGAGTTTGACACTCATGTTCTAACTTATATGATAAAAATGTCAGCATATAATTGCCTGGGGTGGTTCTATAACAGAGAATACTGCATTCTACTGAGACAGAGTTTTTATTTTATATTGGTAATTCCAAGTAAATTTGGATTGTACAAGGTTATGAAGGAAAGAAGTTGCAAAATTGCTGTTTGTCCACTTTAACCTATACTTGTACATTCTGAGAGCATCTCTATACAGTAGCAGACAGTTCATTCTCATTACTTGCTTGATACCAAAACTAGGGATATCAAAAACTGAATCTGAATCTGTCTGCATGCAAACATATGCTCTGCTAAATTATAGATCCTCTCCTAAAGACGGCAGGATGCTCACCATCCATTAGCTCAATTCACGTGAGTTCTGCTTTAGAGTATAGACAGAAAATGATAGAAAAGTCAGCATAAGGTGCCAGTATTTGCAGTAAAGAAATGTATGTTACACAGGCTTGGAACAGACAAATACACTGTATTACCTGGAAAACAGCACAGTGCTTTGTACTTCTTGCTCATAACTGATGAGCCATAGTCCTCTCAGAGCCATCACTGATAATTAGCAGACCAGAAGATCACTTTGTCCATGATAGCTTTACTGCCAAGAAACTTCCAGTTCTGGGCATTGTTTGATGTGGCTCATAAATTCTTCCTTCTCATTTCCAGCGCTGCAACTTGCTTCTGCATGGGAGGATTGGATTCTCTTACTCTTCACCATACTCCCTTTCCATAAACACACCATCAGGGCACTTATTAGGACACACTTCTTTCGTTAATTACATTCCACCCAAAAATCTAGGGGAGACAGATTAGGGAATCTTAAATGTATTGGACAAGAGGCTTTCAAAAGGAAATAAGGCCCCCTCACCCCAAATTAGACCCAGCCCATTCTATGCCTGGAGTTACACCCCAACAAACACCCCCGTTTTGTAGGTCAGCAGTTTCTTGTATAGGGATTCCCAACTTGAAAACCCCAGTTCTAGAAAGAGGATCTCCACCCAACCTGGCCCTTATAGCAGGGCAGAGCCTCCAAATTAGGAAGAAGCCCAGTTTCCCTTCCATGTTAAGTAGTGTAATTATTCCATTGAGAGGCTTCTCTGCAAGCAGAAAAGGCAGATTCTTTTGCAGCACACAAAGCCTCTTCCCTAGTCAGTGTCTCCCCTCCTTCTTATAGGAGACAGCCTCCTAAGCCAAGGAGCCGCACTCTGCCCCCAAATGCTTAAGGCATCCCTGGTAAATTAGAGTCCTTGCTCCAAAAACGCCTTCCCTCATAGCAAGAAACCGTTTCCTTAAAACCCCCTGAGACAACAGGCCTCAACTGCGCCGAGCAGAGCCCCCTTTTAGAGTACGCGGCCTCCTCCCGCTGTTACTCGATTTCCCCCCTCAACCAGAAGCGCTTCCGCCACCCGTCCCTCCTCTGGGTGACGGTTTGAGGAGGCCTTCGGTCCCAGCGCCGACCTCTTCGCCGGGTCTCTCCTTTTCGCCCGAAATGAGCGGAGTGTGGTTGCACCGGAGGGCCGAGAAGACGACAGCGGTGGCGGCGACAGCAGCTGACTGAGGCGCCTGGGCGGAGCCACCTTCCAGGCCTCACCGCGGCTGCGAGCCGAGCAGCCCCGGTGGCCGTTTGAGGGGGGGGCCTATGGTTGGTTTCCGAAGGAGGAGGAGTTGGAAGTTGCCGCCGCCGCCGCCGCGGGAGCGGCGAACGCGGCAGCTCGAGCAACCTCGCTGCGGGAAGAGACAATGGAAGAGGCCTGGCCTGGGCGCCGGCCGGCCGGCCTGAGGGGACGGATTCGGGAGAGAGACGGCGACGGGAGTGCCCTGGCCGCGGTCACGCCCGAGCTCTTTGAGGTAAATGTTGGCGGGGGGAATGGGGCGCCCACCCTCCTTTTCTTTTCCTGCTGCGAGAAGAGGACCCTTACTGCGGGAGAGATGGCCGAGGCCGCCCCAGAGATAAGCCAGCGGCCCTCACCCGGGGGCAGGTGGGTGGGAGTGATTGCCTCCGGAGGAGGGCGGCGGCCAGTAAGTCGCGCGTGGGAGAAAAGTTGTCACGGGAGAGCTCAATCCTGTATCGGCGGTGTGTGTGTGTGTGTGTATGGACTTTTTTTTTCCCCCAACAGGGAGGGTGCTTCTGGCTCACACCTTCCCCTCTGGCTCACACCTTCCCTTCCGCCTGAATAATTTGCGCTTTCTGTGGGTTGCTGACGCTGCCCGGTCATGGAAGCCTCGCGGGGGGGGGGGGGGGGGGGGGGGGAGGGGGTCCGGGAGGGGGAAAGAAAGGGGGGGAGATGTGCCTTTGCTGGAAAAGGAGGGGGAAGTGCCTTTCGCAAGTGTAAGAATGAACTATCTCGGGGGTTGGAAGTCTGGAGGGGCGAGAAACAGAATGATGTTGTGTGAATTGAAGGTGATGAAAGAGAAACGGTGGAAACAGAAGAGGCAGGCTGCACGAGACCTAAGAAAACCACCCGGTCCGGGCTGGAGGGACGGAGCCACGGAGGTCGCCGAAGTCAGGCTGGAAAACCGCAAGCGGCCGCGGCGGGGAAAGGCAGGCGGTCGCTTCCCACAGACCCACAATTTACCCCGGACGGTGAAGGCCGCAGAGCCAATTCCAGCAACCACCGGAGATCAATGGATGCTTGACTGGAGACCGGAAGAGAAGGCGGAAACCCAGATAGGCCGCCATCAGACTTCCAAGGATGGCTTTAGCGAAGAGGCAGAGCTGAGATGACCGGCACAATGGGCAGAAAGAGAGAGCGTCGTCGATGGGAGCCACTCGGAGCCGAAGAGGCCCGGAGGAAAGAAAGAAGCGTGGCGGCGGAGGGAGACGATGATGGATGAAGAACGGGGGAGGTTGGAACTGGAGGAATGTTTGGAGAAGCGGAGCTTAGTTCCCTCGAAGAAGGGGGTATCCGCGGGTTCATTGCCTGAGATCGAGCCAGCGGTCGAGGGTCGTTGGGAGAAGGGAGAACCGAGAGCCAGATGTTTAGGAAGTTAGGCTGTGCAAGATCGGTGGGGGAAAATAGTTTGAGGACAAAACTAGAAAACAGTTGGGGCAAGAAAAGTGAAGAGCGGATTGGGGAAGGCAAAAGGAGTGTATTGAGTGGGAAGAGGTGAAGGTAGACCTCCCTCTCCCAGACCGGGAGGTGGAGGAGAGAAGTCACTTGCAGAAAGAGGAATGGATAGGAGAGTGGAGAGGATAGAGATTGAAAGGGTGAAGAAAGGACCTCTGGGAGAGAGGACAGGATGATAGAAAGCACAGGGAGTCACTAACCATTGCCCAGGTGAGAGTGGAGCAAATGAGAAAAATGTGGGCAGTCACTTAAACTGCTGCCCAGAAAAAGAGCAAATGGGAGGACAGGAAAGAAATGAGAAGGGTGGAATTGTGGAAGAGTGGGAGGTAATAGGAGCTACTGGATGTTCTTCATGTTTAAAAGTTCCCCTACGTGATTGGAGTGAAGAGATGTCTGAAGAAGAGGATCAAGCTAGTGATAATCAGAGAGAGGTAATTGCAGACAATGGGGCAAGCTGTTCCAAGGGTGGGGGTTTAGGAAATTTGAGACCAATCCCCTCTTCCAGCCTCCTTGGTCACACTTAAATAATTAGCTGGATTGCTGGAACCTAGTCCCAGGTTGATGCTCTTAAATGCTAGGTGTGGCTTTAATAAGACAATTGTGACATGACAGAGAATAAAAAGGTAGATGTGGTATGTATCACTGAATCCTGGGTGAGTGAGGATGAAGTGTCCTGAGACTTGGGTTTCAGTAGTTCCTCACTCCTTTAGAGGTATAACAAAAGGGACCTGGAGGTGTAAACATTCTATGCAGGAGCTCTCCTAAGCTAAATTATTTTAGATATTTTGATACTTTGGGTATTTTTGTTGTTCACTGTATTATATGTTATTGATTGTAAACCACTTAGAATCTGACTATTGTAGCATAAAAGCATTTGGAATAAATAAATTGTATCCCAACTTGTCATGTAAGATTATTTTGGCAAGATTATTTTGTAAACAATGATTTGCAATAAAATTTGGAATGGAAATGAGTTTGGAAAAAGATGTACAGTACAATGAGGATGGATGACATATAGATTTCCAGTTGTATTCATTACAGTCACACTATTTGAAAAGATAGTTTAACAGTAATCTTTTTTAAATAAATGTTTCTCCCTGTAAAGCTCCATTTTGTTTACAATTGGTGTTCTTAAAAGAGGAAAAGCTTGCACAGTAATATTGATAATTAAGTATTCCACCTCATCAGCTATTTTGATTCTGTGACAGCATTCTAGCAATCCACAGCTGTGGCATTTTGAACTGAGAATCCTTCATTAAAATCCTAGCTACTAAGGGAGTAACAGATCAATATTTAAGTTAAAGGTCTTATAGGCTCCTATTTTCATAACTGCATTTGCAGCAAATGTTTACCTGCTAGGAAGGGAATTCATTTTCCAAGATTGTCTTAAACTACAATTATTCAGACACAGCACTCTGGAAAAAAAATGGCAATGCAAACTTCTCTGGGCACAAAATAGGAGCAAACTGGGCTTTAAATTTACTTTATGAACAGATTTACTAGGGGCTTTATTTTTCTGACCTTGTTTGATTCCATTAAAAAAAAACAAATGGAGTGAGCATGTCTATAAATTTAGGGTTAGAATGATGTTAGTAGTATGGTATATGAAAGGTATATATAGGGAAGGAGGCATGCCCTGGAAAATGAAGTCTCAGTTGAAAATCTTTGCTCATGCTGAAACATGGAAAAGTTAAAATCTCTCCAGAACATTTTTTAAAAGAAAATTATATGTCCCTTCATTGAAAAGTCACAATCCTCCTTCCTGCTGCATCTAATTTACTGAAAAGTAAGTTGCATTGGATTCATTGGCTGAATTCATATAATACCTGATTTTTTTTAGCATGACACAGGACTTCTTTGTTTTCACTTAGTACTATGTGTGAACCATTCACATTATTCAAAAAGGCATAGTTAAAATAACTCTAACTTAATAACAAAACCTAACTATTACAGGGCTACTAGAAATATTTCAGAATGACAAATCAAAAGAATATCCCAGAAGAAGCAGCCAAGAATTGATAACAGGGAATCCATAAAATCTAGCAAGCCATAAAGCCATATTTTAAAACCTGTTGAAATGGCCAGCCTTTTTTTTAAATCCCACCAACACATTGCATTAACGGTGAATTAAGATTGGTCGCCATAATATTGTTTTGTGGAGCACGTGTTCTACTTTTTGAAGATTGCAACTGGGAAAGCCCTTTTCCTACTCTTCTGCCTCATGAAGATTTCTAATGTTTATTTGTAAATTCAGAATGCAGATGCCAGACTTTTTGATTTGTCATATTTTATGCTGGTGAGAGATCTTTGTAGAAATCCAGAAATACCAGTTAGTACAGTACTATTTCATTTTGTAAGTAAACCTGCAAAACTGAAGTTTACATACTGCAAAATTCCAATTGAGGTCTCAAAACATCAATAATTATGACCATACTATCTTTGTCCAGAAATATGCACTTGGAGAAAGGTAATCCATAGTGTCTAGTGTCGAGTTAATTACTTTGTTCCGTTCTCTAGCTTCAAATATTTCAATTTATAGATTCCCATATCATTTCCTGTAGAATACTTTGGAAGTTCAAGTTCAACAGCTTCCTAGATTAGAGGAAAAGAATGTAAACTTACTGGTTTTCACCATGCAAGTTAATTTACATGAGTTAAGTCAAAGACAGCCTTTGCTCTCTGAACAAGAGATCAAATGTTTGGTGGTGTTTTAGAATACCTAAATGTGATCAATCCCAAAATACTTTTGATTTGGAAAAGCTTTTTTTTCTTAGTGTTTTTTTAAAAGCCCTGTACCTCCCAATAAATTAGATATTAATGTTAGATTAAAAAAATAAACAAAAAACTCTGGTCTTTTTTTCTCAAATGAAATTAGTACCAGCATTGTAATAATTTTATATTTAAACATGTTAATAGTTATCATTAAAGTTTTCTGACAGTAGGTCTGTATAACTATTGCATTCTGTACACTTAAAATTTAAAATCTGAATTAACTTTTAAAATACAGATAGCTTTCCCCAAAGACCTACAGTTCAGAAATGTCATGTAGAACATGAGAGTGAGGGTTTGGGGTTTATAAATGTGCAAAATGGGAGTGGTGAGATGAAAGCCACAATGGTGGAAGAAGTGGTGGAGTGTATTTAAGAAAAAATTGGAAAAAAAATGAGTCATGAATACAGCAACGATTAATTGGCTTCTTGAAAGCTTACCTCTGGTAATTTTTGGAAAATGTGGATGCTGGAACATGTGTACTTATACTATACTCTTATCAAGTGTATTCTTGTGAAATTATAAGGCAAACATTTTAATGCAAAAGAGGACGTTATGGAATGTGAAATTGCCTTATATTAAGGCAGACCACCCTTGTACGAGCAGGTCCCTGAAATATGCCGAGATCCTTGTAATAGGATAAATTTAGGATTTTAAAAAAGACACCTCCCATTGCCCAATCCAAAATCCTTTTGAGCTATTCTGTGCGAAAAGCTCACCGTATGACATGTTAGCCTTAGTGA